GATAACATTTAAATTATATTAGGGACAAGTGCACAGTGTTAATGCTTTGAACTGATTACCATAAGTTTTGGTATATAGTTTTTCTTCTTCTTTCGGCTGCTCCCTGCGTTAGGGGTCGCCACAACGAACTAAATCGCATGAAGACTTTGCAGTTATTTTTACGCCGGATGCCCTTCTTGACGCAACCACAGACCGCCGAGCTACCACACCCCTCTGTGTGGAACAGAGAGCTGCCATCTAGGACACCCGGAGGAGCAAATTGTGGGGGTTAAGGGCCTTGCTCAAGGGCCCAGAGTGGGACGAATGAGGGTGGAGGCAGGTGTGGGTGCTTCACCTACCCAACCCACATTTTTTATGTCGGTACCGGCGATCTTCCGATCACAGGCTCACCTTCTCTAACCTCTGCGCCACCACTCCCCATAAGTTTTGGTATACAGTGCACACCCTATAATAGGAGCGTTTTTCTTTTTCTTGTTAAAAGTGATTCCACAGTGTTAACGCTCCGATTTGATAGCTGTAGAATTGATATTTATGGCAATATTTGCATTTTTTGTTGCTTGTTTTTGAGTTTTTTAATTGCCATTATATCACATATGGGCAGACAGAAGTCCAGATGGTGGGGTTGTGTTCTCTAAGCAAGCACTAATGTGTGGATTTTCAGTTTATAGTGTGTTTTGTTCTCCCCATGTTTGGATAAGAGAGAGGAGTGGGTTTATTATCTACCCATCTATCCATCCATCCATCCATCCATCCATCCATCCATCTCTCGTGTGTGTGTGTGTGTCTATGTCTTGGTTGTTTTTCTTTTTTTTGTTATACCCCGTATTGGCTTGCGATAGTCTGTATGTAATTTATCGCCTGTTGTTCAATTATGACCAACGTTAAGGATGTTGTCCTCTCTAGTGGCTGCCCAGTTAAGTGTGTAAGCTGGAATGTGAAATCCCTTAACGGTCCAGTAAAATTCCAGAAAATTACATCACACAAAACAGCTGGAGAACCATGTGCGTTCTGCAGATAGTGGAAAATTTGTTAAAAAATGGTCTGGTTAGGTGTTTCAGTCTAATTTCTAATACAAATAAGAGGGGTAGCTATTATAGTTCGTCAACAGGTGCAATTTACAGCCTCAAGTGTGCATGCTGATAATGCTGGGCGGTATGTTGTAGTGGTGCAAGTTGTACACGCTGCCAGTGATCTTGGTTTTGGTATACAGTATGCTCCCAGTTGGGATGACTACATTTTTTAGTAACATCTCAAATATACCGAATTTGTCAACACAATCTTATAATTGGCGATGACACAAATTGTGTGCTTTCATCTCTTGACCGTAGTTCGATAGGGAAAACAACTGACTAAATCCACTCTACTAATGAACTCATTCCTTGAATCATATGGTGTGGACAATGTATGGCGTTTCCGTAACCCTACTTCAAGATCATACCCATTCTTTTCCGCAGTCCATAAGACTTACTCCCGAATTGATTTTCTTCTTGATAAACAAGTGTTGCCTTTGCTGAAGGAATATGATTATTTGGGCATGGTCATCTCAGACCATGGTCCACTTATTATGAAATTATTCATCCCGGTCACAAAATCTGTATTTCGTCCTTGGAGAATCAACCCCTTACTTTTATCCGAGGAAGAGTTTACCAAATTTCTTACATCCATCCATCCATCAATTATTTTTTACCCGCTTCTTCCATTTTGGGTCACGAGGGTCACCGGTGCCCATGTCCAGCAATCACTGTGCGAGGGGCGGGGTACACCCTGGACAGGTCGCAAGTCCATCACAGCAAATTTCTTACATCTGAAATTGGAATTTTTCTTCAAGTTAACTGAACACCAGGAATGCTACTCTGTCCTGTCTTGGAAGCATTAACAGCCTACCTGAGGGGTACAGTTAAGAAATTTAACAGATGTAATACTACAATTAGAGAGAATATAGGAACTCCCCCTCATGGAATCTAAAGAAAAACATTTGTAACTACAAACTGAATTTAATACTTTGTCTACTCTGCAAGCAGAGTATTTAATCTCTAAATCTAGACAGGTTTTCTACATCAGCCAACCAAACTATTACAGCAATAAACAATGAACAGGGAGCTGCATGCCATGACAATGCTGAAATTAATGCTTGTTTTAGTAAATTTTACCAGTCTTCAACTAACGTATGGAGAATTTTTTTTTTAGATCTTGAACTTCCTTCAGTGGGTCCTGATCTTGTTGGGGATTTGGAGAGGAAGTTCTCCGTCACTGAGATGAACTCCGCAATCAACAATACGCAAAATGGGAAATCTCCTGGACCAGATGGCTTCCCATCAGAGTTTTTAAAGAAATTCTTAAGTCTACTCTCACCCTTCTCACCCTTATTAAGGTTTGCGTTTGAGGAGTCACTTGCTGCACAGACATTGCCATCATCCATGCATCAAGCTGTAATCTCGATACCTAAGAAAGATAAAGACCCTCTAAATTGTGGCTCACATAGACCTATCTTGCTTTTAAATATCAATGTTAAAATCCTTGCAAAGTTCCTGGCAAAACGACTTGAGCGGGAGGTCCCCAAAATCGTTTCGCCTGACCAGACGGGGTTTGTTTAAAAACTATCACGTTTCTTCAATGTTAGGCAGCTGCTTGATGTACTGTACACTCCTTGTCCACCCAAAAACACCTGTAACAAAGCCATTATTTCATTAGATGCAGAAAAAGTATTTGACCGAATGGAGTGGGATTACCTTTTCAAGACTTTATAAAGTTACTTAAATTTGGTCCCAAATTTATATCATGGGTGGGGCTGATATATACCTCATTAATGGTGGAGGTCCGCACCAACATATCTTCCTATTTCGAACTGCAGCAAGGTACAAGACAGGGTGCTTGCTTTCACCACTTCTATTTGCGTTGGCGATAGAACCTTCGACTGTAGCTTTGCGGCAGAACTCCATCATTAAGGGGATGAGTCAACTAGGTACATAGCACAAAGTTTCTTTATGTTCAGACGACATGCTTTTGTATTTATCAGACCCCCTTAGTATCCCTGAATTATTTTGCTTAAAAAAATTGGGAAATTATCTGGCTATAAAGGTCAACCTTCAAAAGGGCGAACCGATGCCTGTGACCTCTAAGAACGTAAATTTTGAAACCGTACCCTTTAAAATTAGTTTAACAAAATTCAAGTACCTTGGGATCTGGGTAACTCGTGATCACAAGAACCTCTATGAAACCAATTATCTACCACTCATGGCAAACCTTAAAACAGGACAATGCTAGAAGGCAATCTGTATCTCACACTCTGGGGGGCAGAATAAACTCTGTAAAAATATTAATATCCTACCTAAATTCCTATACTCGTTTCAGAATCTGCCAATCTTCCTTACTAAATCCTTCTATACCAATTTGAACAGCCAGATATCAGCATTTATTTGGAATAAAAACCATCTACAGATGGCCAAGAAGGTCTTATATCTGCCCAGCAGACTTGGAGGCATGTCGCTTCCTAACTTTATGCACCATTATTGGGCAGCTAATATCAGAGCTCTACTATTTTGGTTGGGTAAGGACACCTCTTTCTCCTAGTTGGGTGGCCTTGGAAAGGGCCTCAGTTAGATCCAGGTCTCCTGCATTACTCTGCTCTTGGGTGCCCTTTAAACAATCAATATAAACCTACACTTCTAACCCAATTGTGATCTGGTTGGTTAGGATATGGAATAAGTTCAGGAGAGCATTTAACTCTACAGAGTTCTTGTTTTTGGCACCTGTGTCAAATAATCATACGTTTACTCCCGCAGTAGCTGATCCAGCTTTTGACACCTGGGTCTTTTGGGGGCGGGGGGGGAGTGCATTCACTATTTGATTTATAAGTTGATGGTAGACTTGCCTCTTTTGAACAGAAGGTACAGAAGTTTAACATTCACATCAGTTTTTTTAGATATCTGCAGCTGAGACATTTTGTGAGATCTAGCTCAGACTGTTTTCCTCTGTACCCCTTTAAACATTTTGAGGACAAGATTTTAGAATGCAGGTCTGATACCAAGGGAGCCCTTAGCAAAATTTATAACTGCTCAGTTCATACCACGAGTCCAGTTTGGACTCCATTAAACTGAAATGGGAAGCGGACTCAGAGGACCCCATATCAGACTATCTGGAAAAAGATCATTAAGAACATTTACTCATCTTTAATCTGCCTGAGACAAGCTGTAATCTAATTCAAGGTAGTGCACAGGCTGCACCGGTCCAAAGACTAGCTGTCCAAGATCAAGTCCAATCTGGACCCCACATGCAATCATTGTAAACAAACTCCAGGTACACTTTTGCAGACATTCTGCACTGGTCCCAAACTGCAGACTTTTTGGAATTCAATATTTGACACCTTCTCTGGAATATGTAGCAAAACTGTTCACCCATCCCTCACCATTCATTTTAGTGTTCAAGGTGGTCCCGGTGGGTATGTCTTTCAGCAAATTGAAGATGCAATTGCCTTTGGCTCTTATCAGGCCAGGAAGCTAATATTGTGCAATTGGAAGGACCCACACCACCCAGCATATGTACATTGGATGAGAGATGTGATGTACCATATCTACCTGTATAAAATAGGATATACCCTGAAGGGGTCTGTCAAGAGATTGAGACACTTGGCAGCCTTTTGTATTGTACATTGAAGGCATGGTTAATTTGTTTGTGTGTGACTGATCTGGTGTGGGAGGGAAGGGGGTTTTGTTCTATACGGGTTCCTTTTTTGTTGTCGTTTTGTTGTATGTTAAAAAAAATAAAAATAAATGGAGAAAAAGGTAATAAAAACACTTTTTTTTTTTTTTTTTTAAACAGAGGACTGAGGAAGAACTAAAAGGAATGCCACAGATCTTGGAGTCCATGGATCTCATCTTTCCTGATGTGCAACTGTGAAATTAATTATTACAAAATAGACGGAATCTCCTGACTGCCTGGTTATAAAGCACAGCTACTAACCAAGCTTACAGGAACTGTGTGCGCATGACAGAGAGACTTACTGTGTGTGCAGGTCTTCAAGGTTTGCGTCACCCACAGTTTGCTGGGCATCCCCATAAACACATGCTGTCAAATGAACACATGAAGGAGATGAGGACAGACTAATGAGCTTAACTTATCCAAGATAGGACTGAACAAGGACTAACTGGGGGGAAAAAGTACGCCATATGTCCACACATAACCAAGTAAGCACAGGCAGAGGCTGTTTTCCTTTCAAAAAAGGGAGTAAAGGAGTTTGTGGCATTTTATTTTTGTCTTTTTCACTCAGTTGAAAAGAACCAAACATGAAATATACTCACACGTGTCGGGCTCCGAGGCAGACTGCTGAAGAACGCTACAAAAAGATGACAGAAGAAGAAAACTGCATGTCCTGATTTCATCTTTCTAAAACCTTCTGCTCTAGATATAATGCTTGTGAAGGAGCAGCTAAATGTCTTACTGGCTTTCAATGGAAGGTGAGAGGGTGTCCTCACAGGCCCACTCCTCACTGTCATCTGTGACTGAAGACAAAAACTAGATGTGAACAGCTGACGATGCAAATTTGGCAGCTAAAGCTCCCAGCTTCCTCTGCACTGGTCAAAGGATGTATAGTGGTGCTTGAAAGTTTGTGAAGCCTTTATAATTTTCTGTATTTCTGCATAAATGTGACATTTTTAGCAAAGATGGCCGCACAACCAGCCGCAGCTTCACCAGCTCCCAGTGAGATCCCAGTTTTCAGCTGTTTTGAAACAGTTTGTTCAGGTGTTCAACTGTTCCCAACAGTTTGTTGGGTTGTTTCAGTTTTGAAACAACCCAACCTTAAGCATGTGAATTATAGCCTAACCGAACTGATGAGGATGAGAGAGAAAATTTAACACTGAATACAGCAGCAATCAACAATCTTAAAACTACGCTGGACAGACTGCAACTTTTACAGACATCAGCGTGGAGACAGCAGTGCTCAAGAAAGAGAAGGCGTTGTGCTAAATAACATCTCGCTTCAAAACAAACACCCGGAGGCTTTTTATTCAATTCAATTCAAAAATACTTTATTAATCCCAGAAGGAAATTAAATGTTGTAACTCATCATCCTGGTTTCATTAAAGAGTTGTTATAGATGGTGATGGCTGTGGGCAGGAAGGATCTCTTTTAGTGGTCTGTCCTACAGCAGATCTGAAGAAGCCTCTGACTGAAGACACTTTGTTGTATGACAGTCTGATGAAGAGGATGCTGAGGGTTGTCTATAATGTTCTTCATTTTATGAAGAATCCTTCTTTGAACAATCATCTCCAAAGGTTCTAGAGGAGTCCCCAGAACTGAGCCAGCCTTCTTTATGAGCTTGTTGATCTTTTTTAAGTCACTTGCTCTGGTGCTGCTCCCCCAGCAGATGATGGCAGAAGAGATAGTGCTCTCTACAACAGACTTATAGAATATATGCAGCATCTTGCTGCAAACACTGAAGGACTTCATCTTCCTCAACAAGTACAGTCTGCTCTGTCCCTTCTTGTAGACAACTTCACTGTTGCATTTCCAGTCTAGTCTGTTGTCCAGGTGCACCCCAAGGTATTTATACTTCACCACCTCCACTTCTTCTCCCATGATGGAAATAGGGTTGGACCTGTTCCTGATTCTCCTGAAATCTACAATCATCTCCTTTGTTTTGTTCACATTCAAGATGAGATGATTGTTTCCACACCATGCCACAAAGCGGTCCACCAGTTCCCTGTACTCAGCTTCTTGTCCATCTCTGATACACCCAACTACTGCAAAGTCATCAGAATATTTCTGCAGATGACAGGAGTCTGTTTTATACTGGAAATCTGAGGTGTACACATACAACCCTTCAGTCTCACAAACTGTGGTCTGTTTGTCAGGTAGTCTTTGATCCAGGCGATTGTTGAGGCCTCCACCTGAGTCTTCTGGAGTTTATGATAAAGCAAATCAGGCTGGATTGTGTTAAATAAACTGGAGAAATCAAAGAACATGACTCTCACAGTGCTATCTGCCTTTTCTAGATGACAGCAAGTTTGGTGAAGCAGGTGTATGATGGCATTTTCAACTCCAAGTCCACGCTGATAAGCAAACTGCAGTGGGTCCCGATATGTGCTTGTTTGTCTAGTCAGGTGGGTCAACAGAAGTCTCTAGGACCTTCATGATGTGGGATGTCAGGGCAACAGGTCTATAGTCATTGAGGACTGATGGGCTAGTTTTCTTTGGCACTGGAACAAGGCAGGAGGTTTTCCACAACACTGGAACCTTCTCCTGGGTCAGGCTAAGGTTGAAGAGATGCTGCAGAATCCCATAGAGCTGCTCTGCACAGACCTTCAGGACTCTGGGACTGACACCATCTGGACCTGCAGCCTTATTCTGGTTCAGTCTCTACAGCTGCTTCCTCACCCGACTTCTGGAGACGCAGAGGGGGGAGGCAAAGGAGGTATCAGCATCTTCTGATTTGGTTGAAGACCAATATGTAGAAGAAGAGTCCATGACTGAGGTGGTAGATACAGTATTTGAGGAGTGACAGGACAGCCTTGGGTCAATGGAGAGTGGTATGTATGTTTGGCTGTGAGCAAGAGGATGCTGAGCTTGTTCCTGAACTGAACCTACTGAAGAATGTGTTCAGTTCGTTGGCTCTGTCCAGGCTTCCATCCTTCTGATCCTCCTTCTGCTTGAAGCCTGTGATCTTTTTCATCCCTGACCACACCTATGATATTGTTCTGTTGGAGCTTGCTCTCCAGCTTCTTCTTGTACACCTCCTTGCTGTTTCTTATCTTGACTTTTTGTTGCTTCTGTGTGCTCCTCAATAATTCCCTGTCTCCCTCCCTGAAGGCTCTTTTTTTCTGGTTTAGCAGTTCCTTCAGGTCAGTGGTGATCCAGGGTTTGTTATTGGGGAAGCATCTCACTGTTTTGGTGGGGATGATGTTGTTTACACAGAAGTTTATATAGTCGGTCACAAACTCAGTCATGGCACTGATGTCCTCTCCATGTGGCTGGCACAGTGCATCCCAGTCTGTAGCCTCAAAACAACCCCGCAGGGCTTCTTCAGCTTCCATTGACCATTTTCTCACTGTTCTCTTTATTGCAGGTTGTCTCTGAACAAGGGGTTTATATTTTGAGCAGAGAAACACAAGATTGTGATCTGATTTGCCAAGAGGGGGTCTAGCTTTAGCGATGTATGAATTCTTGACATTTGCATAAAACAAGTCCAATGTTTTGTTTTCTCTGGTAGAGCAGCTGACACACTGTTGGAATGTCGGAAGTGTAGCAGAGAGAGAGGCATGATTAAAATCCCCAGATATTGCAACAAACGCACTAGGGTGTTGTGTCTGTAGCTTAGCAACCTCGGAGCTGATGACATCACATGCATTCTCGGCAACAGCATTGGGTTGAATGTAAACAGTTGCCAAAATAACACTGGTGAACTCTCTTGGCAAATAATATGGATGACAACTTAGTGCTAACAGTTCAATATCTGGACTGCAGAGACGACACTTCACAGTAACATGTCAAGGATTACACCATCTGTTGTTCACAAGCACTGCCAACCCACCTCCTTTCCTTTTGCCACTCCTCTTTAAATCTCTATCTGCTCGTATGGTCAGAAAGCCTGGCAAGGAAACGCTAGAGTCAGGGATATGATCCTGCAGTCATGTCTCAGTGAAACAACACTGCATTCCCGATACTCTGGATGGGTCCTTGTTAGGGCTTGAAGTTCATCCAACTTGTTTCCCAGCGATCTCACATTGCCCATCGTGATTGATGGAAGAGATGGTTTAAACTTCATTCTTCTCTCTTTCTCCCTCTTTGCTCCTGCTCTGCATCCACGACGCCTCTTTTTCAACTCATTTGGGATTTGAGGCTGTAGTTGAGATATTATTTGAGCTTTTGAGATGTTAATCAGCTGCTGTTGGTTGTAGAAAACCGCCTTGTTGCCATGGTTACGCATCATAACAAATATCCAAAACTAAAAAAGTTTCAGTAAAAATCCTTCCAGCTGCACAGCATCTGATACCAGAGGAAACAGTCATCCAAAAAACGTGATTTACATCCAGAAAAAGAGGAATTTTTCCAAAAGCAAAATCTCAGAATGAAAGTAACAGAGCTGCTCCAACATGCAGCCACCTTGAGCAGCGCAATTCTAGAATAGTGGTGGGTGGAGAATTTAACCACAAATCTGAAGGTGACACAGCCAAGTATTTATCAGCATGTGACCATACCAACACGAGGAAGTAACACACTAGACCATGTTTACACCAACGTGAAAGACACATATAAAGCCATACCCTGCTCCCACCTCAGACTCTCTGATCACATATCCATCTTTCTGGCTCATTCTTACCTCACCCAGATGAGACGCTCCAGACCCACAAAAAAGGAAATAAAAGGATGGGTGAGGAACAGTGACTAAGACTTGTTTTGCATGCACAGACTGGCAGATCTTCAGGGAGGCTGCTGTAAAGGAGGGGGTGCTAGACCTGGAGGAATACACATCCTCAGTCCTGTGTTAGATTAGCAAGTGTGCTGATGATGTCACCACCTTCAGGAATGTGAAGAGCTATCCCAACTAAAACCCCTGGATAAATGCAGAGGTACGCAGCCTGCTGGAAGCCAGGAACACTGCTTCAGGTCTGACAATTTACAGGAGCTAAGGAGGACAAGGTTAGAGCTGGATGCTGGTATTAAGAAGGGCCAAAGCAGCAGATGCACAGAGGATCCAGGGACACTTCCTCACAAGACCCACGGATCAAGTGGAAGGGCATTAAGTGCATATCAGATTATAAAAAGGTAGAGGTGCACAATGCCCTAGGGACCCAAAACTGCCTGATGCTCTCAAAAAGGTTCTATGCACGCTTTGAGGACCCTAACAGATCACCCAGCACCAGACTCACCTCATCACTGGAAGAAGAGTTCCTCAGCATGAAGTAAAAAGTGCTTTCCACACTGCTCTCACCCACCTGAAGCAGAAAGACTCCTACGTCTGCATGCTCTTTGTGGACTTCACATCTGCCTTCAACACTATGATTCCCCAGACCCTGATGGATAAACTACTTGCACAAGGACTAAGCCCCTCCATTTGCAACTGTGTCATGGACTTTTTAACCAACAGACCACAGTCAGTGAGGATCCACAACTTCTCCTCCACCACCATAACCCTCAGCACTGGCTCCCCCAGGGATGTGTGCTGAGCCCCTTCCTGTTCACTTTGCTCACATATGACTGCACACCTACCCAAACAGGCTGTCATGCTGTAAAGTTTGCAAATGATACAGCTGTGCTGGGATACATCACAAACAACGATGAGTCCAGCTACAGGCAGGAGGTGGAACACCTGGAGAGCTGGTGCAGGAAGAACCTTCACATCAATATGAAGAAGACAATGGAAATGGTCGTGGACTCCACTATACGTCGTTACGTCGTTGATTCAGATGGTTAGGTTAATAGCTTCTTTAGAGAACCTTTTCATGATATGCAAATTTTTTGGGACAGGCATTTTGGGTTTTCATGAGCTGTATGCCATAATCATCAGTATTAAAACAATTAAAGACCTGAAATATTTCAGTTGGTGTGCAATGAATCTGAAATATATGAAAGTTTCATTTTTATCATTACATTATGGAAAATAATGACCTTTATCACAATATGCTAATTTTTTGAGAAGGACCTGTAGATCTGTGCTTTTGGCAGAAAATGTGGACAAGTTTGTCTTTTTGGCCAAAAAACTTAAAACTTGATTAGTTAGATTGTAAACAGTCTGTTGCTGCTTATTGTTCTAGTTCTGACTCTTATTGTATTCATTAGGATTTTTATTAGTAGTATAGTTTATTTATTGTAAAGAGTGCAGTTTATTTAAAATATCGTCCACATGGGTCATTTTTATTTATTTTTATACAAACGTATTGTTTACTTGGCATATTTTCAAAATAAACTTTTAAGCCTTTATTTTGGCCTTTTTTGTACCGAAAATTAACCAAACCGAGCCCTCCTTGAAACCGAAACGAAATGTGATTTTAGCGTACCGTTCCACCCCTAGTAACAATGGTCTTGAATTTCCTCCATTTGGACACAATCTGTCTGACTGTGTATTGGTGGAGTCCAAACTCTTCAGAGATGGTTTTGTAACCTTTTCTCCTTTGTTCGTGCCATGATCCACTTCCACAAATCTGTTTTGTGAAGAGCAGACTTTGATATATCCTTGTTCTATAAATCAAACAGGGTGTCCACTGACACCTGATCATCATCCCATTGATTAAAAACACCCGATTCTAATTTAATCTTCAAATTAACGGATAATCTTGAGGTTCACATAATTTTGCCACTCAATGTAATATTAGATCATTTTCCTCAATAAATAAATGACCAAGCATAATATTTTTGTCTCATTTGTTTAACTGGGTCCTCTATCTACTTTTAGGACTTGTGTGAAAATCTGATGTTTTAGGTCATATTTATGCAGAAACAGAAAATTCTGAAGGCTTCACAAATTTTCAAGCACCACTGTATGTGGTGCTGGGACTGGGATTTTTCGGTTCTCCAGACCAGTTAATTCCATGTTTTCAGATAGAGACTGACAAATGTTAACACACGATGAACACTTACAGCTGCTTGTTAGAATGGGATGGGTTGAAGATCTGGAAGAGAGAGGGGGGGGGGGGGATTACTATGAGCAGAACAAATTAGGTACAAACATTGTTTGAAAAAAGTAATTCGATACCTGCTCCCAATACTGATGGTGTCTGCCTCCTTGTTGCCTTCTCGGCAGGCTGCTTGAGCCTTTTTGCCAAGTTCTAGCATCTCCTTTATATTCAGCTCCACGTTCATCACTGAAATATAACCATCTGAAACAAGGACAAAGAACAGACCAGAGAAAACACAAGATAATTGGTTAAATGTGGGGTTTTAAAGTACAACTACTGAAAAAAAAAAAATCAAGACTCAGTTTCATAAATCTACATCAAATCTGGAAAAAATGTCTCTCATTTTTAAGACCCTGATTTTACTCCATCTTTATCTTCTACTGCTCATCTGTAGTCGGGTTGCAGAGGCAGCTACAGAAGAGAAACCCAGACTGTGCTCTCCCCAGCGACACTCTTCAGCTCCTTCTGGGGGACGCCAAGGCGTTCCCAAGTCAGAGAAGATACACAACCCCAAGTACAAAATACTCCTGCAGCAGTGCAGCTCCTACAAAGTGTGATCCCACAATAGTTGGAACACACTCGCCGGTCCTCCTGTTTAAAATGGGAACCACAATCCTGGTCTGCCACTCCACAGGTGTTGTCCCAGTCCTCCACGCAACAATGAAGAGATGTGTCAACATGGCAGCCCAACAACATCCAGGCCCTTCAGCATCTCAGGGCAAACCTTTTCTACCTCTAGTGCCCTGTCCCCTGGTAGCTCATCTTTACTACATTTATTATTTATTTATTTCACCAGGAAAATCCCATTGAGATAAAAAAAAAAAAAACCTCTTGCAAGAGAATCCAGGCCAAGACTGGCAGCAGCACGCAGAGGTTACAAAACATTCACAGCAAAAACTGAAAAAGTTAACTCCATCATAAACAATTAAAAGGTTCCTCAGTTAAACATTTACAGATGATTCCTTCTCCAAATCAGTAAGAATAGCCTTAAATACATTTAGTGACAACAGCTCCTCTAGGTTCATGTATTTCTGCAACTGGTTCCAAGAAGATGGAGCAGAACTGGAAAGAAATCTTTTCTGTTCTGCTCCAAGTTTAGTTTGGACTTTAGCCACCGAAAGTAAAAATAAGTTCTCGCAACAAAGAGAGTATCCTCCGGTGGACTCTCTCTTTATAAAAGGCCAACAAGTATGAAGGAAATTGTCCTAGTATGGCCTTATAAATAAAAATATGCCAATGGCGGAGTCTACGAGTGGCCAAGGACGTCTGTCCAACCTGGTTGTATAAAGTGCAACGATGTGTAAAACATTTTAAACCTGTTATAAATCTTAAAACTGCACGATAAACAGTATCCAGCAAATAAAGGCATTAAGAGGAGCACGCATGTATAAAATGTCACCATATTCCCCTGGTACTTTGTGACCACTGCCATGGTAATGGACTTGTTGTCCACAGAGTCCTCGGACTCTGCTTTCTCAAAGGTGGATGAGTTAAGGTTAGCCATTCTCCACCCAAACCAATCAGCCCGGGCCAGGGTCTACTTTCATTAGTCACAAAATTGTTTGCCAGAACCTCCCCAAGGACACCATAAGTTCTTCTTCATGGCCTCCCCATATTCCTCCTTTGCCTGAGGTTTTGCATCTGCAACCACAGATGATGTAGTCTTACTGGCCACCTTGTACCAGTCAACTTCTTCTGGAATCCTCTGGGACAGCAAGGCATTCTTCTTCAGCTTAATAGCCTCAAAACAGGTTGCGAGACTCCAGAACTGCAGCGACTAAGACATTACTGTGGCAACAGGCACAAATGTCCTTCAGGCTACAACTCCTGAAAGCTGCATTTGAAATAGAGATCCTGAACATGGCACATTCAAATTCCATGTCCCTGACCTCCCAGGGACACGTGGAAAACTCTCCAGGAGTTGATGATTGCACAAACAAGGGCTTCACCAGATGTTCCCAGTTCACTATGAGTTTGGGTTAGTCAAGTCTGGCAGCTTACCCTACCACCAGCTCCAACTCACCACCAGGTGGTGATCGGTTGACAGCTTTGCCCCTCTCTTCACCAGGGTGTACAAGACATTGGATGCAGGTCTGATGATATAATTACAACATTGATCTTTGGCTTAAGGTGGCCTGGTACCAAGTACACTTACGGACCACTATTCTCGAACATGGCACAGGTTATGGAAAGCCCATGCTTAGCACAAGTTTAAAAACAAAAACACTGTTTGGGTTCAGGTCAGGGAGGCAATTACTGCTAGCCACCCCCTTCCAGATAACTCCGTCATGAGTTATTATCCAGAGTAGGAGTCCAGCCTCTTTCTCTCTCCAGGAGTTGGGTTCCAGAACCCAAGCTGTGCATAGTAGAGGTGAGCCCAACAGTGTTGTTAGAGATAAAACAGTGACAAGCACTGGGAGAAATTAAACAAAACCTGCATGTCACTTTTAGCTGTTAAATATATGCGTTTATGAGGTTTCTTCCCGTTAGGATGGAGTTTTTCCCCTTTCCACTGTCGCCTTCATGTTTGCTCAAGATGAGTTCTGCGATGAAGTTAAACTCAAAGCAGTCTGCTCCTCGGATAAATAGTGCTAACTGATTTTATATATAAATGTTTCTGTTCAGTGCACTGAGATGACTTCTATTGTGACTTGGCGCTGTATAAATAAACTGAATTGAGTTTATTGTGAAGTCTGAGCTGAACAAGTTTGAATTCACACCACTGTCACTAAAGTCCCATTGAGGAATTATATGTGTAGTATTTTCACAAACTTATTTCACGTCCTGCGATTTATGGGAACTAAAAGTTGGTACACCTTTCCAATGGAACTGCTCATTTTGAATATTTTTATTTTGTTGGTATGTTTTTCCAAAACTGTTGAATAAACTGAAAGCTTGTGACAAAAACAACAAGTGGAAAATTATGAATTGGCACCTTAAAAACCAAAAGGCTCATACTTACACTTGTAGTTGGCATCTCGGGCCAACCATTTGCCTTTGGGACAGTTGGTGGTCCGGATGATGCCCACCGTGTCGCCGCTCTTCACAGGCAGGTCGTTCTTACGGACTTTACTGGCTACATTCACCTTGGCGTGGTACATCGGTGCTTCGTTCCCACTCACCTAGGGTCAAATGTCACCAGAATCGTCCTCAGAACAGCTGCTTAAAGTTAGAGCTGCTTTATTTAAAATGTAGCTGCATATTAGATGCTGAATAAAAACGCTACAGTGAGTCGGAGAAGCTGACTAATCCACTTACCTTGAACTTCTTTTTCATTTCATTTTCCTTCTTTTCCCTCTCTTTTTGCTCCTTTCTCTCCTTCTCCAGCCGCTGTTTCTCTCTCTTCCTTTGTTCTTTATAGACGGTGGAGTTGGGGCTGGACTGATCCCTACTAAAACAAATCACATTTTTTACTCCAAGCCTAAGAAAAAAAAAAAAAACAGTTTTCTAAAAAAAAAAAATACACACCCATAGGCATGTGAGGCAGCATGCTCTCCTGTTACGCTGCCCCTGCAGTTGGATTTCCACAGTAAAAGAAAATAAAAATCATCATCTGGCCTACTGTCAAAAGACAGAAAACAGCCCTGCGTATGAGGAAACATACCACTGATGTCTCAGCTGTTTGTTAAAATACTGCTCCTCCTTCTACAAGCAAGAACAGTCTTTATTTAACACAAAGGACTGAAAGTACAAAATTTATTCATGACAATAATATCTTTAAGCTGTAAAACAGAGTTTACTCCACACTAAATCAGATTAGAAAATGAAATACCGCAGGGTTGTCAGCGTACGGATCTGAAGAAAAGAAAAAAAATCGTAAGAAAGAAAAGTTAAAATCGAGACAATAAAAGCCTGCCAGGATTTTTACTCCTGAATGAAACATTCTTACTTTTAATTTTGCTTTTCTGTTTGGTTGAAAGCTGGCCTGAGATGAACCTGGTGATGTTCTCAACATCTTCGTACACATCAGATGTTCCATTGTGGTTGTCCTGTTGGTCTTCTCTATGAGGCACAGAAGACATGTTTCAAAAAAATCTAACCTGAGAACATTAGTTCAGATTTTCTGCAGAAGACTCGCCTCAGGTGGGCTTCCTCAGGTAAAAAGTGGCTCTCGGCAGCCCCCACATCAGTCTCATAGGAGTTAGAGAAGGCATCTCCAGCCGGCGCTCGACTGTGGGGCTGCTGCTCTGGAAAGTTCAACAGGTTTATCGGTTCAGGGAAGTGGGCTGGATCAAGGGGAATTATGTTTGGACTGCCGAGGTCCAGATCTGGGACGACAGCACTGTCACAGATCTCTGCAGGATCCCAGGCCGGTTCTGGAGCCTCAGGATTTGCTCCATCAAACTGGACGGGTGTTTCAACATCAGCGCAGACCATGTCTAAGGTTTCAAGCTCTAACGCAATAATGTCTACAGCTTCACCCATTGCAAGGTCCACCTCCGAGTCCTCAAAGTCTGGAATCTGGAGGGCACCGAGTACAGGGCTGGAGGAGAGTCTGTGCTCACAATATTCTTTATGTGATTGACCAGTTGATGCACCTAGAACCACAAACCAGAACTCAGTAAACCACTGGGAGGTCAGTCCAGTCACTGATGTATGAACAAAATGGAGGTTGCTCTAAAATGGGACGAGCAAAAATGTAAAACAAAGCAAAGTGGCCTACCTTTGGCTGTGAGTGAGAAAGAAGTGAGATCTACAATCGATGGTCTTGGGGGCTTAGCTGCTGCCGGTCCGAGAACGCTCAAGTCTGGTAACAGCTTTTTTAAGGGACTACTTGGCAGATTAGGTCCAGCAGTTCTCGGTGACAGTTGTTCAGATTTGTCTTTTCCAAGCTGAAACTCAAATGTTGGTTCTGGAGGAGAATAAAGAGAAATGCAGGAAGAACTTCTCTAAATATTGTGTAATATATATAAATAAAGAGTGAAATAGCTGAGAATTTCATCTGGACCACTTACTCCATGGAGAGCTGTTGGCTTTGGAAAATGGTCGAGCAGAAATACAAGCCAGGTGTGGAAAACACGAGGCTGCGGGGGTGCCGACACCAAGGCCACGGGGGTTCTTGGTGCTCCCCTGGTCAGGGGAACACAAGCTATTTGTTTTGGCAGAAAGTAACATCTGCCGCCGTGAGAACTTCTTAGCCCTGTCCACTGTGCTTCCAGTGCCGTTGTCAGAGTCAGCACGAGACTCTGAAGGACGGGGGCTGATTAAGATTTCAGGACTGGAGAGTCGGGGCTCAGAGTCTACCTGCTCAGTATGAACCCAGACTCTGTCTTCTGCATCTTGTTTCTTCGCCAACGGTGACACACCAGGATCACTAGAGGCCCTATTAGTCAAATCACCAACTGTGGGCCCCTCTCCGTTCTCTGCACTGAATTTAGTCGCTTTAACAGACCTGAAAGGAAGCAGCACTCCTTTCTTCTTAAATTTATTCTGTGGCGAGACTTCTTTTCCTGGTTCCAGTTTGTGCTCCCTCTCAGTTGGATCCAACTTCTGACCTTTTAAAGGCAGAACAGGGAGCACCAAAGGCATGTTTCGATCTTTGAGGGACTGCCTTGTGATATCTCCGTTAGCAAGCTGAGCTGAGGGGGAAGTCTGCTGAGGGGGAAAGGAAATCGACTGCCTGCCTCCAGATGACCAAAGACCATCTCTAAAGACGACACGAGGAACCACCGGCGTGTTGCTTTCTGCAGCAGCGTTAAGACTGCTAACCACCAGGTTGCTGTGTCCTCCAGGAGAGGGAAGGTGTCTGGGCTTTTCAGCAACGGTTGGTCGACTGGCTCTCCACTGAGTCAGGAGACCCTCATCCTGAAATTTAGCTCTCAGTGCTTTGAAGTCAATGGGTCTATCCTAAAAAGAAAGACACATTTATGAATCAATAAATTAAAGGAAGAGTAATACTGTCAATTAATTGACCTAAACATGGGCAAACAGAACCATTTACATGGCTAAAGAAGACTGTATACAGATCCTTCTCAAAAAATTAGCATATTGTGATAAAGGTCATTATTTTCCATAATGTAATGATAAAAATGAAACTTTCATATATTTCAGATTCATTGCACACCAACTGAAATATTTCAGGTCTTTAATTGTTTTAATACTGATGATTATGGCATACAGCTCATGAAAACCCAAAATGCCTGTCCCAAAAAATTTGCATATTTCATCCCACCAATGAAAGACAAGTGTTTTTAATACAAAAAACACCAACCTTCAAATAATCGTGTTCAGTTATGCACTCAATACTTGGTCGGGAATCCTTTTGCATGAATGACTGCTTCAATGCGGCGTGGCATGGAGGCAATCAGCCTGTGGCACTGCTGAGGTATTATGGAGGCCCAGCATGCTTCGATAGCGGCCTTAAGCTCATCCAGAGTGTTGGGTCTTGCGTCTCTCAACTTTCTCTTCACAATATCCCACAGGTTCTCTATGGGGTTCAGGTCAGGAGAGTTGGCAGGCCAATTGAGCACAATAATACCATGGTCAGTAAACCATTTACCAGTGGTTTTGGCACTGTGAGCAGGTGCCAGGTCGTGCTGAAAAATGAAATCTTCATCTCCATAAAGCTTTTCAGCAGATGGAAGCATGAAGTGCTCCAAAATCTCCTGATAGCTAGCTGCATTGACCCTGCCCTTGATAAAACACAGTGGACCAACACCAGCAGCTGACATGACACCCCAGACCATCACTGACTGTGGGTGCTTCACACTGGACTTCTGGCATTTTGGCATTTCCTTCTCCCCAGTCTTCCTCCAGACTCTGGCACCTTGATTTCCGAATGACATGCAAAATTTGCTTTCATCTGAAAAAAGTACTTTGGACCACTGAGCAACAGTCCAGTGCTGCTTCTCTGTAGCCCAGGTCAGGCGCTTCTGCCGCTGTTTTTGGTTCAAAAGTGGCTTGACCTGGGGAATGCGGCACCTGTAGCCCATTTCCTGCACACGCCTGTGCACGGTGGCTCTGGATGTTTCTACTTCAGACTCAGTCCACTGCTTCCGCAGGTCCTCCAAGGTCTGGAATCGGCCCTTTTCCACAATCCTCCTCAGGGTCCGGTCACCTCTTCTCGTTGTGCAGCGTTTTCTGCCACACTTTTCCCTTCCCACAGACTTCCCACTGAGGTGCCTTGATACAGCACTCTGGGAACAGCCTATTCGTTCAGCAATTTCTTTCTGTGTCTTACCCTCTTGCTTGAGGGTGTCAATGGTGGCCTTCTGGACAGCAGTCAGGTCGGCAGTCTTACCCATGATTGTGGTTTTGAGTAATGAACAAGGCTGGGAGTTTTTAAAAGCCTCAGGAATCTTTTGCAGGTGTTTAGAGTTACGTCGTTGATTCAGATGGTTAGGTTAATAGCTTGTTTAGAGAACCTTTTCATGATATGCTAATTTTTTGGGACAGGCATTTTGGGTTTTCATGAGCTGTATGCCATAATCATCAGTATTAAAACAATTAAAGACCTGAAATATTTCAGTTGGTGTGCAATGAATCTGAAATATATGAAAGTTTCATTTTTATCATTACATTATGGAAAATAATTACCTTTATCACAATATGCTAATTTTTTGAGAAGGACCTGTAAGCGTACAGAGACAGAGGCACATGGCGATGTAGTAATAACTGAAGCCATTTTTCAAGAGTAAAGTTAAATAACTATGAATCCACACAACAGTCGTTTTCATTGTCAGTTTAAATATTTTTGGGCAAATAAAATTAGATATAAAACTAAATTCTGGATGCACAAATTATTACTCAAAAAACGTGTTTTTTAAATTAATATGGAATAAAATGATGAAATGTGGAATTAGCACAGCTGGACAGGTGTGGCTAATTGAAGTTTTTCTCCAAGGGCTTAGATAAAACAAAAATATTTTGGTTCTGGGCAAAGGAAACTACAAAACTAAATGCTCGCATACAGAAAATAACAAGTCGTACATTTTAGGCACACAGACAAGCTAATAAAAATGTGGGATGCTAGCCCCGGCTAGGCACATAAGACTAATTAACTGAAGAAGCTAATGTGATTAAACATGTCTTTAAAAACTAAATGTCTGAACTTTACCTCGTCCATGACTGTCGCCGGTTTTATTCATCACTCCTCCAGGAAAACAACATTTAGTTTACTCTACCAGCTTCCTTCAAACATGAGGAAACCCTCCAACACTTATGCTAACGTCGACATTGACACAAACAATTTGAAAGCGCCGCCGGCCGCTTACGATCCTGTGCACCTGCGTCTACTCGTGAGAACCTTACGTGTGACGTCAAACGTGCTGACGTTTAGTTCAATCAACGAATCAGAGACGACCAAAAGGTTTGACACGTTGTGCTGCGTTCACGATTCACCAGGACGCTGGAAATTATTGTGACGAAGCTGCAAAAATTAAATAAAACATCGTCACAACTCAAATTTAACAAAATTAAGTCGTGAAATTTTACACATTAAATCATTTATTTTTAATATTGTAATATGAATACAAAGAGAAAAGCCTAATTAAGTACAAAAATATACAGTAAAATCGGAAGAGTTGTGTTCCTGAGAATCATCATGAATAAATATAAAGTACGTAAAGAATTGCATAAAAGGTTTAAAAGATTTTTATGAAATGAACGTGTATCTAGAGAAAAGATATAAGTAATAACTTAGTGTCCTAGATGAGCCTTTTTCCGATTAAAGCATCATATTGGTACCTCATTGCAAAGAGTTTTAGAGTAAAATAACTGCTTAAAATAAAATAACAGAAAGTATCTCATTTAAAAGTATTTAGTAATTAACTAAAAAGATAAAATTTGTGTGGAGGAAGGTCTTAATAGCAGTACTGTTTTACACTGTCAGAAAGATAAGTTTTTTATTTGGCTTTACTATTTTAAACTCACAACATTAGGCTTTTTTTGTGCATTTTAACCTATAACCCACCTGATTGCTGCTTTAACAGAATTATTAACAGCACGATCCCATGAAGAGGTATAGGTCAGTAAAACAACTTTCCCAGCTGTTGTAAGATTGTGTTTACTCTTGATCAATCATTCATCTTTGTTGGTTGACAGAGGTACAAGTCCTTCTTTCATCACAACTGTTTAGTGATGTGACACACAACCAGCTGCTCATTTTCATGATGGAAATCTTTAATCATGTGCTCCTGGGTTTGTGTGGACTGCATCTGTTGGTGAACGGCAGCACAAATGTGGATTCATCCTGGAGGCTGTGGACAAGTGCTAACAACAGGTGCAGAGTCATTCACACCTCACCAACTCTTCCATTGAATGATTTATTATGTAAGCTGTTATTAAACTAACGTGGGGTCCTGTGTAGATGGTCCTCAGTTCGAAGGAGCAGAGCTGTGAGCAGACCGGAGCCCATCAACTGTAAACTGGGCGGCTGGTCATCCTGGACACCCTGTGATTCCTGCACTGACAAACAGGTCAGGAGGCTATTCTTAATTTTCCTAACAGTGTAAATGACTCAGATCTCTCCTCAAAGTGTTCAAGATGACTTAAAAACCCCGACAAGAAAAAACAAAACACTTCAGCTCATGACAAAGATTTATTGGATTAACAGACCGCAGATGAGGTTATATCTTAAAAATGATTGGGCAGATCAATAAAACTCATACTTTCCTCCAAAAGTGTTGGGAAAACTGTGAATTGACTGTCAACTATAATAAATCTACTAGAGCGAAAACAATATTGGACAGCTAGAAAATTTCTGGAGAAACTTTGACGGGGACTGCCATGTGGCAGCCATTTGAAATTTTTTGATTTGACAGTACTATGTGTTGGGGTTCGCGTTCGCTCTCAGCTACGGTCATACCAAATTTCAGCTCAATATCTCAAAGAATGACTGAGTTATAGTCAATTTTGAGTTTTCTGAGGTAGCTGTGGCAGCCATCTTGAAACAAAGTGGCTCCAAAAGTTAATCAGAGTTTGTTCAGAGTCCTCTTCACTCGTGTTTTTCAATGGGAAAAGTGTCATCTTTGTAAATTGTGTCACCATGGTAACTCAAAATGCCAATAAAAGTAACAGCATGGCACCAAGCCAGGCGTTTTGATTTAACATTTGTGGGGGCACATGCTGCAGTTCGGGCCTCATTAAAGTTGAAGGAAGAGCAGGACCTTTTTCAGGTGGATAATAACAGGTGGCTGCCTTCAGGTGGTCCCCAATAACGTTTTGTTTTTAGTTTCTGTGTTTGTTTTGTAAACAATGCACCTCATGAATCAATGGATTGATTTGTATTAAATTCTTAGAAGAAATGATTGGATCACATCAACACTTTAATAACCTTTGGAGTCAACATGATTCAAGATGGCCGCCACAGATAACTGGCAGATATTCAGAGTCAGAGAGAGTCAGAGTACAGATTATACATTAGTACATTGAGCTATAATTGGATGTAGCACCAGCTGAGAGTGAGCTCTGACCCATGAGCTGAATGCTACTTTCATCACAGGAATAACTTCCTGGTTGTTTGCAAAATATCTGCTGAACCAGTGGAAGGCTCTTATACCATACCATGCCATACCATACCATACCATACCATACCATACCATGCCATGCCATGCCATGCCATGCCATACCATACCATACCATACCATGCCATGCCATACCATACCATACCATACCATACCATACCATACCATACCATACC